AAAAAATCCACATCGCAGCCAGCGAAAAGCACTTTCATGTTTGGTTGTATGTTTTGTGTGTAAACTTGACTGAAACTGAGGCTGTATTTAAGAGCAAGTGGAAAGTTTTCTGTACAACTTTATCAAATTACGCAAAATTAAAAACATTTAGTTGTGAATCATCAGCAGTTGTGTCTGGTCCGTTAATCGTTTATCTTTGTTCTGTTAGGAATTTGTACTAGTATCATTATTTCCGGGCATACAATGTCTTCTTTTGGCATTGTATGTGCTTCGTTTCACAAAAGCACAGTTTTCCGAAATACTCGTCGATATGGGTTTTAAAACACTTCACAGAATCGACCTCTATTAATCCTTCGGGTAGTGTATTCCATAAGTTTACGATTCTTCGTTCGATACAAAGCTGATGTGATACTTTGTTCATGTTGGGGAACCTACAAGACGGTAACCATAGCCACACGCCTCCAGCTTTCGGTTATTGCAATAATGACAACTGGTTAACCCTTTCCTCCCACTAGCGCTACAGTTCACCAAATGGTGGTAGGTGGCATTCCGTCCCCTTTGTAAACTAATAATAACGTTTATATCAATTGAACCGTAACCGTTCTTCTACATCTATCAGATAAGTATCCACTACTTAAGCTGATGAGCTTGACCTTGTCTTTACTTAGTGCTGACCCACATTGTTACATTTGTTTCAAAGTGGCTTCAGTTTGGAAACACATTTACTCACTACAAAGTCTATTTACACCTTGCTGGTTAGCTCATTGCTCGCAGGTAATGACATATTAATACAATTCCGAAAATGTGCTAGGCGTCCGAGATCACAACTCCAGTCTAACATGGCAGAGGAACCATGGGTGTGTGTGGTGTAAAAGCAGCGGTTTTACAAATAATGAAAAACGTTATAAAAGAAAAATACAATGAAATAGTGTTATTTGCATACATATCCCTCCTACTTCGCCATGCACATTGATAGCCGACATTGGGGAACTACATCAAACTCGTGTATGAGAAGGGGATTTTGCTGCAAATTAGAAAAGGTTAGTCACAGTTCGCTTCCAGCCAAATGGTTTCTTACTGACCCAGAGATATATTAAGCGTGGCTTTCTTGTACTACTGTGGCTCATGGGTACCATGTACCCCTTCCCACCAAAAAACAGACACGTCATTGTTACTTTCTAATACATCAATTGTACACCGCTTTAAACCGAGGCGGAGGAGGCCACTTTAGTTTACCGCAACATGTTGCTGAACTTGCGATAGTTTAACGTCGACGAAAAAGACGGTTTACATCGTCAATCTAGTTGGGGCGCTTTCCCCTCTAGATCTTGCATGTCTAACTGCTTGTGGTTGCCTTCGTTCGGATGACAGTCATAAGCAGACATCCGAGTCGGTTAAAAATAACAGATAACACCAAGATGTGCCTACATTTTTGCTTGAATCGGAAACCAGACCCACCCATCCTTCAATCGCAGAATGAACGACAGAAAACTACTCTTCCAGGGAGCTGTTTTTCAGGACCACTCATTAAAGCAATCGGTCTGTGTATAACTGCAAAAATCATGCCTGAGAGATATTAGGACTGATAACTATTAGCTTACTGCGGACAGTCAATGCATGTGGGTTATTAGATTTCATAGTTGTTAGGATAAAAAAGCCCATTATTTGGATTATTCCCCTCCAACTCAAACCTGTTAATTTTAAATAAGACAATGAAAAGACTGGTATTGCGAGACGGAACCACTTCGTATTATCTGTTAATTATCGGAATAACTGTTCATCACACAGACCTTACGGGCCAAGAGAGATCCGGAGATGTTTATTCGATTCCACAGTCATCTGAAGGAAAACAGATCGAGGGTACTTACTGTGCCCAAACTGTCTGCCTACTTTCAATTACCTTTCAAAGGTGATATCGTGGCTGCCCAAATTGAAAGTCGTATGCATACAGCGGTTCGTCGGACATTCGATGCCGCCAAATTCTGCCCCATTAGGGAGACCAGGAAGTTGCCTATGCCTTCAGAGAAGCCTACTCAACCGATCTCCGCCACAACTCATTGTATTTACCAATTCGTTTGTAACTGCGGTAGTAGTTACATTAGCAGAACAGATCGACCCTTGGGTAAGCGCTTTGGAGAGCATATCCCAAAACGGATTGCTAAAATATCGACACAACCAGCAGCCGAACGAGAAAAGATATCTAAGCTACAGGCATCATCGCTTGTTAGACATCTACTCGAATCAGACCACCAGGTTGACCCTAGGTCAACATTTACAGTTATCTATCGAAATGACAACCTCAAAGTATTGAGGTTTGCTGAAACGGTAGCACTTAACCGGCATCGCCCTATCCTTTGTGTACAAAAACAATTAACAGTCTCCCTGAAGCTTCTTTGGGGCTCATGACCCTAAGATCAAGCTCGTTGATCTGTTATTCTTGCGTCTACGTAATTTTCCTCTGTGACCAGTTTCAAATCTTTGATTTTCCTGTCACGTGATTCACATCTTTATGTTGTTAGTTTGCGAGTGAGCAGATAACACGAAATGGTTCCATCTCGCAATACCAGTCTTCTCATTCTCTTTTTTAGAATGATAAAGGGAACTCAGTGCCTTAAACCTGTTAATTGATCGTGCATAAGCCTGGGACTTTACTCACTCTGAATTATTCGTAGAGTATTTTTTTTAGTTAGCCACGCTATTAGTGCATTAGGAATGTGCGACTGTATAGCTTATGCGACGATGAAGTCAAAACTCTGCTAAACGTAGTTGACTCAAAATCCCTTGCTATACTAAGACAGCTTTCCGGCCGTTAACACACAAGCACGCTTAATTGCAGCATTCCAAATAACTAAATGCCACAAATATGACCGTTTTACTTAAGAACTTTGTCATTTTTCGATGTCATGCGTTAATGGCATTAATCAGTGCATTGCCTGCTTTGGACTAATTACGGTGTATAATCATTATGATAGCTTGTCAGTAACGGGTATCACTTTTCCCCCTACAATGTGATCAACGTTCGGTTCAATCCAGAAACCGACATTCTGTTGCCTGTTCAAATGAACATCATCTTGTTGCAATGCTTTGCATTCATCCTTGATAGGGAGCTACACTGGGGTGTACCTTTCCACTTGGCCAAGGGACCTTTCAAACAAGTCAGCTTAATGGGGCAAGTCCAGAAAATTCGATCTTAATCTCCACCTTAGCTGAGGTCGAAGAGGTTCTAGCAGCCTTGCCATCAAAATTCAGTTTGTGTAGTCACTATAGTGGGCAATACAAACTGTATCTGTATGCATGTGTCAGAAGTACTGGAATCGAAATTTTTGTATTTGACCTGAATGTTTCAGTTGGTCGCCCATCAGAAGTAAGACATTGTCTCGAGTGCTGTTTCACAGAGGATACATTTAGCATTGATAGTCTTTCTCAACTGCATTCTCATAAAAGCTGTAGCCTTACTGATACTACGCTCGGAATAATCGTGCTTAATTCCCTTCGACTCTCTTACATCCATTCTTGAATAACGATCATACTGAATTACTCACGGACACATTTGGAATACACTGTCTGCGCAGGTTGTTGTGTTTACTGCCAAATGACGTGGAGGTACTGTTGAGTAGTTCGATACTCAACACGTCTTAAACGTATGAGATACTGTTATACAGTTGGGCTGAACATCACCAGTTTTCATGAACTGCGTGGCGAATAATTGCGACAGTCCAATGGAATGGTGGTGCACCCGGTTGGAGTTATCGTGCACACTATATAAAGGCCTGTGAGGTTTACCAAAATCGCCACTACTCATCAAAATCGTAGAACTTCGTTTTCCGTGAAATGGAATGGTGTAATATTCCGCAGTTCGGCCAGTGTTACTGGTATGAAAAAGAAAACTGGTCAGTGAAAAACATGAGAGGACTGCAGAGTAGCACAATGTATAACTTGGGGCACAGAACAAAAGATACCGAGGTGAATCATTTGGTATTTGTCAACGGACTTGCTGGTACCGTTTTGAGCTTCTGTTGAAAGTGAACTGCTTCCCTGGCTGGGTCGTGTCCATCGCATGCCTTCATGTTGATTTTCTCGAAGCTTATTGACATTTAATGCTGAGAGGTAGTCGGTCGACGCCAAGATCATTAAAAGTTTACCATAAAACGAACCAGGATCAAATTTATGGATCAGCGTCGTGTAGATTGGTTATGCCATCGGCTGCGTTACAGTCGCTAATTCAGTGTCGCTTTTGCATGTGTTCCTTCAGACACATGATGACTATGTCTAACGGGCCAGTATTATGTCCGCCCCTCTGGTATTACCATTAATCCTCTTACTTACTACTATTTTCGGTCATTTGTGTCCAGGCATCCGAATCTATCTCAGTTTAGGGCGCACTGCGCAGTTAAGCAACTGAACTAAAAGGAAACTAACCAGTTCCCATTCATTCTGACTTCTGCTTGCGCTTGACGAGATTAAACCGCAAATACTGCCATCCGGCGAAAATTGTGTTTATAGAACAGCGAAAGAAGTTGGGCGACGGATATTTACCACAGCTGTGACACCCAGCATGTTGGAGGCTGACCAAGATCAGGGATTTAAGCGCTTCACTGCGCCTATATCTTCTAATAGGGTTGAGGGCATTACGTATAATCTTTGTAGGATTGATATTCTGGCACCTTTACGGAGTTGCGTAAGGTGGGATTTAGAAATCAATTTTCGAAGCAGCCTCTTCACATCCAAACGGTCGTTCCACAATTGGGAAAGCATCAAAAATTCCGCAATTTATTTATTCACTGAAAATACATAAGGTATATGAATTACAGCCATGTGAATTGCGTAAAAGGAAGGTTCACAAACGCTCATCGACAAACGTTCGGAGTTCTAGCTTTAACCCACGAACCAAGCGAAAATACTCCTTAGTGGTTTCAGATAATTGTGCTTTACCTATTAACCTATGCTATTAACAGGTGCGAATGAAAATATTGTATTTTGTTTTCTCGTTTATATCTTAGGCAGATCCGGATTTACACGAAAGAAAAGACAAACAGCGTGAGCGCAACAATGATCGCTTGATGGAACGTAGACTGAAAGATCGCTTTCAAACAACGGATTCGAATTTGCGAAAGAAGAATAAGAAGCCACCCACTGTGTTGGAACGTTGGCGGCTCCGCCCTAGCCTACGCGGTCGGGGAATGGTAGTAATCCTCCTTGCAGGGATACACCGTGGAAAGCGAGTTGTATGCCTTGGTCGGCATAAGTCAACCGGATTACTTTTGGTTACTGGACCCTTTCGTTACAACGGATGTCCTTTGCGTCGAGTCCATCCGAGCATGGTGATCGTCACCAAAACGCGCATTGATCTTGGCAAAGTAAGACTACTCAGTTCACCTAGTGCGTGGTAGCCCCCAGAAATTCCATTTTTGAATCGGCGGTGACCCGGCTTTATGATTAATGAAATCTTCATTCCCCGCATTGAACTTGAATAATAAGGGGCCTCAACCCAATAGTTGAAGTCATGTTTACCGGCATGTTGCAGCTTCACTAGTGTCCCAGTGGCATCCATTTGAGGACCTGTGTGTTATGGCTAATGCGAACAGCCACCAAACACGCCCCATGCAGTGGACTATAAAAGACTTGCTTTGCACCCACAAACCATATCATTTCGAACCCGTGGATAGTGGCACGACTGATTTGGAGCCGACACGTTATTTTTGATCAAACTGAACGGTAACTGAACTGTAGTCTGCCGCATGATTGAACATCTCTTTCGGACTAGTACTGTTGCAAAACCTTCATGTTACTTTCACCGTTGCAGCTATTCGTAATCTACTGGAACTAATAGCATATGTGATGATATCAGGTGGTTTGGTATTTTATCAGTACTCACCTTAAGTGCAACTCAACCCAGTGCTTCAGTTGAGATTAAATGCCGAGCTTTCAGTTATACGCATACATTCGCACAGATAACCTAATTGCAGTCACCATACGCTGGATGTGGCACATCACCCCTGCTAGTAAACAATAATTTACACTATAGAGGATATTTCTTGGTAGCAGTTACCTCTGTGGAACAATGGTGTATTACGGGTAAAAGAACATTCATTCATCACTCATTATACACGTCAGCTAGAGGTGGGAAACACCTCAGCTACTGTGTCACAATACATAAAGGAAAAGGAAAATAAATACAACAGTTACACGCTAACTGAGCTACCAGCAACGTATAGGCGTCGTTCCGGTAACCTACCAGCCGGCTACTAGGCAAAAAGATGAACTATTATGTTTTACGCTATGAAATGAGAGCGTAGATGGTGGGGGAGGCTAAAAGAGATGTGGAGGGACAAAGAAACTCACAGCAGGAACACCACTGAGGTCGGCTCTTTGCCATGTCAGCAAGTGTATCCAGCCAAACGTGTTCATCGTCTTTTGGACTCCAACCAGAGAGCCGTGACGCTCCAACCGAGGCCAGCTCCGAAGTGAGGGCCTTCATTCCTCTGGACCAAGTGATCGCTTGGCCGCCCCTCCTTTTCTTCCATCCACACCCCCGGTGAGCAAACAACGGGTAAGAGAACAGTAATTAAAAAGCCCCGTGGGATGGAAATTATTGCGAAAATAAATATTCGTGTTAACCTGATTAGCTTTTGAGTGCACTCAATATAATGTTATATAGAAAAGTGAAGGTATTTCCATTATAAAAATATACATGCGTACATACATTGTTTAGTGGTTTGGTAACACAACGTTTGGTTGCTTTTTTTGTAGCCCCTAACTAATAAGTGATAAAAGGAAATACAAACGAGACGAGGCTTCATCAAATCGTTTTTAAATATCGCTAGATTGTGGGTAGAAATGACGTAAATTTGGAGAGCGCTCCGCGGCTGTCATACGCGGAGAGAAAAGAAATTTCTACGGCATCCCAGTGTGTTATACTGTATTGTCAGTTTCAGAGCATGACCTCTTAGGTTAGTGTGTGGTTCGGTTTCGGCTGATGTCGGCAGCTGTTGTTTAAGTTCTTCAGAATATGGTAAACCGTTAGGAAATCCCCCCGCAAACGCCGATATTGACTGCTGTACATTCTTAGAGACTTCAGTCTAAGCTGATAAGGCAGATGCAAGAGTCCCCTAGTGTTCTTGGTTGCCTTACTTTTAGGAGTCTCCATAGCAACGAGAGCCTGTTTCTGCCACGACTGCCACGCCTAGATAGCATACTCCACGTGCGGTTACACGTATGCTTTAAGCATTTGGGAGAGGTCCAACCGTCCGAACCCTCTGCGAAGAAGGCCAAAGGGTTGATTTCCGGTTCTCGACCCCTTCTCTGCTTGTTTTGAGCATCCGAGATCTTCCTGTACCAGTAAACCCAGGTCACGTTCTTGAGAGGCCTACTGCAAGGTGTGGTTGTTAACGGCAAAACTACCATGAAAACCCCAGGCTGGATGTCAAGATCATAGGCCAGCTAACCAAACCATCTGCGCCATCTGCCGAGGCCCCGGGGGCCGATTATTTGTGTACCCCCGTGCGATTCACTATGCGATGTTTCATGTTTCCCTTGCAACTCGCAACATGCGTATAGCGATTTGTTTCAACTAACCTTATCTGACACCTGCTCCGACGGACTAGTGTACCATTCGTTTATTTTCCTAACCATGTCTACTTGGTTTCATTCTAAACCGCGCTGCTTCCGTACTGTGTACCATGCCCAGTTGTCCCATCATACGTCGACTTGAGCCAATCCCCAATCACATGGGGTCATCCCTCCGTGTTATTCCCTGCCTCCCAATTAGCCTCGAGACACTACACCCTTCTATGCAGTGTAAAGCGAACCAATCGCATAGGGTTACTGGACCAAGTAAAGGAGCCGAGTCAAGTCTGCTTGCGGATTGTTGCGCAATGCAGCTGTGCGATGGCAATTAAGGTAATTTGCCTCCTTTGTGTGCCTTGTACAGACCCGGTTCTTTTAACACTGAACGGACACTCTTGAGGTATGCCATTTTGTATTTGCTTACTATTTTGTTCAATTGTACGTTACTTAACGCCTGGGCTACTTTCTCGGTTGAACCCGGGAGCTTTTACGTGCCATTGGAGCTCCAAACGAATTTGTCACTTACCGTGAGCTCTGTAGGGCTAGTTAATACTAGTCCGAGACGGTGCGCGAAATTAAGCGCGGATATCAGAAGGCAATGGGAGTCGGACACAGCGGACTGTATTCGATGGGCTACAATAAGAAGCGGACGGATGAAGCGAGGCGAGAGCGTACACTTGAGCGCGGGAACCTACAAGGCTGTTGTGTCTCGAGCCGGTTGTAAGGACGATTAAAACAAGAAGGAATAATGTACAATCGGTCAACAGGTAAATTGCACATGTAAGATAAGAGTTGTTTTTTGGGCGCTACAGCTCCAAGCTTGCGCACGCTCACTGGTAGGTGACGCAAATGGATGAGGTTGCACTTGACCGTGTTCAACTTCACTATGTTCCTCGTTGACCATCTAAGTTATGTTGGAGTAGATCGTGTTCTTCCTCAGCAAAAAGCAAGAAAGTTGAGGAGATAAATCATGACGGGGCGTTGATAAACCGAAGCATCGTTTTCATATGCATATTCTGTTCGCACTGGAGACTGACAAGATTAGGTCATTTTGTAATCTACATTTCCGCATTTATTGCTGTGCTGTAGGGATGATGAGCTAATATTCACCTGCTTCTGTCGCGCAATTGCACACATCTATGTGACGATAGTTTTCTTGCCTGTATTCTACTGTCGAGTCTTTTTTATTACCTCGGCTTTGGTTCGCTGTAAATTTCTCCAGATCGCGTAATTGTTTCCTTAGTACCATTCGCATAGTATTATCTGCTTATGCCCCTTTTGCAAAACACGGCGAATGCCCACAGGACAACTTGACCAATTAAAGCCCCCAAATTTCGCCGGTTTAGCAAATTCCTCACGTTAGACGATATAAGATCAACACGCTTCGTCACTTCTCATTGTATTGTTATCAATGGATTATCAAGAAAGACAACCGAGTTTTGACATACTTCCGTTTTGCATACTTCATTTTCGGCAATACAGATTTAGTTAGTTGGAGATGCAGTGCACAGTGGGGAAGTAATTTTTATGCATATTTCCACATATCGTGTTCAGGTAAAGCGAGACAATTTCCAGATCACTAGATAATCATAATGCGAATGCACGTCCGGTGTGGGTATTCTTCTGTATCGGGAATTCTCCATGCGGACATATATGTTTGTGAACGTCGATTGTGCGCAAGATCCGTATGGGCTTTAGGCATGAAACCCCGTTTATGGAATACGGAGTCTACGCAATGGACTTGCTTTTTCGCCTAAAATATCGTAGCAGCAACATGCAGTTCAGGTACCGCAAATTCGTTCCGCGAATCACATCAGCGTCTGTTATTGAACCATTTCAATAATTCAGCATAATTGCAGGCAAGAAGGATTAAAACGTTCCAATTTAGTGCATTCCAAGCTGGACCTTGTTACAAGACAGTTGAACTTGGTGCTTAACCACACATAAGTTGACAGCACACGCCGGAGATAACGGAGCGTCACGTCGGTCTGAAAGTCTTCCTTATCAATTCGATCTTACTGAAACACACCCAAATCCCTTACGGTATAGCCTTCCAAAGGTGTCTATTTCGTGTGGTTTATCCGCCAGTTTGAAACTGGCAGTGGCTGCATGGTATTGTTAGTGTGGATTTCGATGCGTGCAAACAATGTGCAACCGCCTACAAACAACATCGTCTAGGTGGTTGTCTCACACTATAGACTTCTCACACTGAGGCAACAAATGGTCAGTCACCCGCTGTCTTCACATTCATATAATGTACAAAACCTTGCGCAGTAAGAGGTACGTAACCATTAAAACAATGGAACCATGATATATAGTACGGGTAGAAAAGCGGTTGCTTAACAAGTTCCGCAAGATGGTCAGCATAGGAACCATAAAATGGTGAAAGGCATACAAAGTGATAAACTAAATGCCCTTTGTGCTAGCCTCACTACGATGTCCACACAGAGGCATCCAAAATATGGCATCCTCAGTTGTATGGCTTAATATAGACGCTGTGAAAATTTCTCCCGTGATATCGTCTCTCGATGTACACAGGCTATATGACGAAATGCAGGAGGTTGGGGCAACGTCAAGAAGTTTTACAGAAACTAATAAATCGGCTACTGATTAAACGTAATTTGGGACGGCGTTCAATTGCTAGCACACACACACACACAGGAAGAGAGTAAGAGTATCGCCAAAATTCTAGCCGTTGTATTACGTGGCCAAATGGAGCGAGAAGCACTTTCACTTCACGCTGTGACTGAGTTGCAGTAGGCTGGGGATGGGATTGAGGTTATACAGAATCGGCTAAGCCATTAATAGCTCGCCACCTAAGCGCACATAACAAACGCTTTAAAATCTTATAGTCCTCAGCATAAGTTGACATGGAAGATGGAAAAACCCCTTGATATACTTTGCGGCTATTTGCTCAAATTCTCGAGTACCGCCAGATGTTAATGGTGTCAAGGCGCTTACGTATCAATAGATAGTTAAAGCAAAATTGCTTCACGAAGGAGAAGAGAACAACATCGTCCTGCAATCACACATAAAACAGAGCCTTAATTATACCATTTCACAGGCATGATAGCGAATTATGCCAAGCTTTTAGCGTGACGCATTTTCCACATCACGTGCAGTGATTTCAAGTTGCCGAGGCTAAGAACGCTGTTTTGGCGTGGTTGACACTCTCATTGGTCATGGGACTTCAGCCAATAGGACATCGGTTGGTAGCCCCCAGCACAGGCGACACACAGTCCAATGAAAGTGCTCGAACACCACCTCCTGTTCTGTCTTGATGCCTATCTGAAGGAAAACTCGCTGATTGGTCTCCAAACTGAAACCGTCCAATGGGCAGCTTGTGATGCCTGTCTAAGGAGGAGACCCTACCTACACCATGATCCGAACCTTATGCTGTAACCAGTGCGGACAGACATACTAACCAGCACATGAAGCGGTCTATAGTGCTCGGTAGTGGCTACCTGGTGGTGGCTTATTCACTGGCCTAACCATGATGGCGGAGACAGGCAACCTTCTAACTGGTATTCCGCAGTTCAGAAATGGCTGCTAGGCGGTTGTACAATTTTGTGCGATTGTTATTGCGACG